TATGTACTTTAAACTTCAGAATTCTTATTGACTTTGACTTAGCATTTTCCTTAAAATTATCTTTTTCATGTACTAGAATGTTGTTCCTTTTATTTTTTCATTAGCATTCCACAGTTGACTATACCATGAATATAATAAATACCATGAATAAAATGAATTATTTTATTCATTTATAAATATATTTAAGATAATTTACAGTTTAAATTATTAAAATAAATCTGCATACTGTACAGATATTTTTGTGGCTGAGCTTTCATTTTCTTTGGGCAATAGATATGACTGAAATTTCTGAGCAAGTATTGTATATGTTTTACCTTATAAAGAACTAATATGATTTTCACCCCCAGTAATGTATGAGTGTTTAAATTTTGGCATTCCTTTAGTCAGGTCAGCCTTTTTAATTTTAGCAATTCTGATAGTAATATAGGATTAATTTACATTTCTCTGATAACTAATGGTGTTAAGTATCTTGCCAAGAGATTATTGGCCATTCATCTATTTCTTTTTAGAAGTTCTTTCTATATCTTTTACTCATTTTTATTATCTTATTATTACTGAGCTGTGTTGAATCTGCCATTAATTTAACCCGTTTTTTATTTCTAAATGTTTTTGGCTCATGAAATGTGGACTTTTTTCAGCCCTAGCATTTCTCATTTCCTCAGCCATTTTATGTATCTTGTCATTCAATTTCCTTAACAGATTTTGTACAATGATTTTAAAGTCTAGATCTGTCAGTTCTAATATCCAGGTCAGCACAAGGTCTGTTTATATTGACCCATTTTTCACTTAACTCTAGATCACATTTTCTTGTTTCTTTGCATGTCTAGTAACTGCTGATGGTGTGCTATAAATTATTAATAATACATTTTAGAAGCTTTGTATCCTATCCTCTTCCTCTACCAAGGCCGAAGTTTGCTCTAGTAGGCAGGTAAATTACTACCAAATCATATGGAGGCTATATTAAGGTTAGTCTATTTCAGTTATTTTTCATAATACTAAAAGGTATTCTTTGGACCTAAAGCATGATCATTCTGTGGCAAATCCCAGTAACTTTGGAGAGTAATGATTAAAATCCCAAAATCTTTCTACCTGTAGTAGGAAGCTACTGGATGCACTGTTCAGCTCTTTTAGCTTTGAAACTTTTATTTATTTATTTTTTTCTTCTTGAAATCCTTCCCCAAACATGTTTATTTCAAGCTTCAGCTAAGGATTAAAGAGATATTTATTTTTATATTTGTGGTCTCTCCTCTTTGTTACTCTCTCCTTTCTAGGGTATTCTCAATTCCTAGTCATGACCATCTTATACTTAGTCCTGATTCTTCACGCCAATAAACTACTGTTTTCTGTTTGAGTCTTATTAGCCACTCACCCATGTGGAGTAGGGAGGGCCCTCAAGGCCAAAGCCAGTTTGTCTCTTAAATGTAGTTATCACCAGTGTGATCTCCTTCTTTCAAAAGCTAAATCATTAGCGTGATTGTCCTTGTAGTTGCCCCCTAATATCAAAAAAGTTTCTGTTATTGCTTATGTTTTGTCAGGAATTTATAATTACTATGGATAGTAATTTTAATCCAAGCTACTCTTCCAAGGTCAGAAGCTGACACTACATACCAGTGGTGGCAAACCTATGGCTCTGGTGCCACAGCAGGATGTTTGTTATCGATGAAAGTTCTAAAATGTTCAGCCTCACTGCTATATTCCATATCTCTGATAAACTAAAACATGATCTTGTGTCATTTCAGAATTCTATTTGTGCCATAGGTAAAAAAGTGTGTATGATATATCAATTCTCATGTAATATCTCTGAATGAAAAAATAATATCCCAATATGTACAAACTCAACATGAGTTAAAATTCTCTAATATACTGTCACTTCTGTTGTTAAACTTTCTCAAATCTAATTATATAGCTGCCCACAAAGTAGATTTTACTGTTCCCCACATTTTATATAATTAAAACCTCAATTCCATCTTCTCATACTAAAGTACTTTATACCCTTCCAAAATATGGCTATGCTTTGCTGTGAGCTCCCAACTTCCTATCACTCCACATGAACCAAAGCAAATGATATAGCTTATATTAAAAAAAAATAAATAAAATAAAAACACTGCTGAAGAAGTGGTCAGGCTACTCAAATCCAAACAATCCAAAAGGAAAGTAGTCACTGTAAGAATATAAAAATCTGCTTCAGAGGATCTACAACTCACAGATTTATCCACTTCTCTCAGCTCTATTTTGGCCTACTGAAAAACCTTGTCTTTAGAACAAAACAACAGATTGGCTTTTACTATGTAAAACTACTAAGATTATGTGATATTTCTGACAGCAGTTTGCTTTCAATAATATATTCACTCGGTTATAAACAATAAATGGCAATTTTCATTCAACCTGATCACTCCTATTTTGTTAACTTTTAAACAGCATATTCAAAATTTATTACTGAAAGGAGCATATTATCTTAACTAAATTCACTCTCTTAGATTTGTCTTGAGTCTTTAATCAGGCTACAATCTAAAGACTCAGTGAATACCCAAAACCACTGCTACTCATACAAATAAGTATTCCTACTTTTTGGTAATTGAAACCACACTAATAGAAGATAAAAGCTGAGGACTTTCTAGGAGCTGCCTGTGACATGGTCAGCTAATGCAGGAGTGAGCACTGAGGTTAATCACGTGCAGGGCTGCTCTTTGTCACAGCTAAAGGAGTGCAGCCGTGGTGCTGTCTAAACACCAGGCTTGCTGCAGAGCTGCCATGCCTGTCTTTTGCCATCCTGACAGTGCTGCCTGCCTGCTCACAGGTAAGATGGTCACCTAAGGGAAGGGCCTTGCCTCCCAGACATATTCCTCCAGTATCTGGCAAGCACTAAGCTCAGAGGACTCCAGTCTATAAAATGGGAATCCCCCTTCTATTCCCTTACAGTATCACCTACACTGTCAGAGGGCAGAGAAAAGACAGGTTTCATTCATGCTTGGGGAGACTGTTTTTCACTTTTGTCAATATTACCTCAGAGGATAGATTTTGAGAATGTTATTATATGACAGACTTCTCCCACTATTTAAATATCTAAAATAAAAACAAGAGAAATGGAAAATAATACCATATCAATTTTTTTTAAATCCAAGATTCATTGAAATAAGTGAACTCCAATCTTCTTATTTTGGGGCATTTCTCACACACAAAGTTCTCAGTTTTATAAATGCATGGACAAGTTGCTTCTAATAATAGGAGAGTAAAAGCAAGCCACAAGCACTTACTAGGAATCATTAGATTCTGTGGACAGCGAATGTAAGAACTACCAACACACACACACACACACACACACACACACACCTCTTCTAAATATGAGTTTTGAATGGTTTAGAAAAACACTAAAGGCACCATTTAGTGAAATCCAGTTACTTTAGAAATTGGCCCTGTGAGGTCTCTTCCTTGTCTTACAAAGACAATTTTCTAAACAATTTTTAGCGAGGGGGATTGTGAAGCTCTTAGATTTTGCACAGTCATTTAATCATCTTCTGTAAATAAAAGACAGTAACTTAATCTAGAAGCAGTCACACAAATCATATTAGCTGGAAAAGTAAAGGCTTCTCTCATTGAATATACCTCTCAGAAGCCCAAAAGAATATAACATGCTTCTTTAGAAATCAAATCAACAAGCCAGGCATGGTGGTGCACACCTATAATCCCAGCACTGGAGAGGCTAGGGCAGGAGGATTGTGGTGAATTCAAAGCTAGCCAGAGTATGAAG